TAGATTTCGTCGAGTGGAGCGGATTTGGACTAGAAAGAAAAGAAATTTAAGTTTTTTAGTTTAGTTTCTTGTTTTGTTGTTTTGTATAAAAAGTTTAAACTATCAAAGGAATATTTATAGGTAAAGTATTTGTTATATGACGCGAAATTTTAGCACGGGTTTAAAAGGAGTATTTACTTGGCTTTAGAGTAGAGCATGCAAGGGTTTCGTAGTACCCAGTTTAAAAGTTTATTTTTGACTTATTCTTAAAGAAAAAAATATGTGCATGTAGGTAGAAGTCAAAGCTATGCTCCTGTTTTATAAAATTTAAAACCATTTTTTCTAAAAAAAAATTATAAAACTCGACTTTTTTACCCATTTTCTCAATTTTTTTTTTAGAAAAAACTACATAGAATTTTGAAAAACTGGTTCAAACGGAGCATAGATTTAAATGTTACCTACCCGTACATTGTATTTTCTTTTAAAAATAGTCAAAAATAAACTTTAAAAGTGGGCTACTACGAAATTCTTAGATTGCAAGGTGTTTCGTCTAGAAAGTGGTGCCTCTGTTAGATTTTTAAGAAATTAACATTTATGAATGAAAACAATTTATAATGTTTTACTGATGTTTACCAGGAATAAATACATTTTACGTATTTGTACACCTTATTGTTTTATGTAAATATTCCAGGGTTTTATAGAACACCAAATTGTGACGAAGTCACTAAAATTCCCGTTAATTTATTAATTTCTAAAATTAATTTCCGTCTATGAACATTTGCAAAACCCCCTGTAACTAATATTTCCATAGAATTACCGTTTTTAAACCTTTGCAAGAGCCCTCGTAGTTTAAAACTTTTCAATATCACAATAAATTAAATCTTGTCGTAAAATAGCAATTCTAGTAGGTTTATCAGTAAGCTGATCAATTAAGGTTTTTTTTTGCAAAACAACATATTTTAGAAAAGAAGGGACTGCCGTCCCCACTCCGGCAAAAGTACGACTTTTGATAAAAGTAGATGTTTTCGATGAGAGGGCCTCTCTTTTTCCTGTCCGTCGGTATTAGAATTAAAAAGTACTTTTACGAAGTGTGTGTGTGAATACCGAGTTAGTGAAAGCTTAAGCAAGGTAGGCCTTTTATTTAAAATTCCGTCTAATAATTCTCCCAGCAACATTTATTTCCGTCTCTATTAATTACTTAAAAAATTCGACCAGTATTTTAGATTTCTTAGTGCCTGTCAGGGTAACAAATTGGATTTAGATCCGGGACCATTTCCGCGTGAATCAGGGGTGATAGCGGTATTCGCTTGCTTCCCCGTCGAGAATCAGAGTTTTCTTTTTTTCGCTTTTGTAGAAGCTTTGAATTACCAGATGTCTACATAAGAGAAATTTGAATCCGAATAAATAAAGTTAAAATCGTCAATATTCCCTAAAGTGTTGGTCGAATAATACCGTTTTAAGTCACCTGTATTGGGACTATTGTGTCTAGCTAAATAATATTGCGGGGAGGATATTAACCGTCATATTCTTACAAAGGCAACCGTCTTTTTTTTTCTCTCAGGAGTGCAAAGTGATACCGTTCACTGCCGTTCATAAATTTTCTATAATTGATTACTGATAATAAATTATTAACTTTTAATTTCTAAAAGGTATAGTTCAAATCATATTTAATTTTACTATTGTAGATTTTTGTCTTATGACTAAAACCGGTTATTTGCATTAGTAGGAAATAATTTGTGCTAAGGGTGTTAGTGCCCACCGTTATATTTTTTTTTTAAAGGAAATTATTATTTTTATTTTCTCATGGGTATAGCATAGGTCATAGTTAATTTTACCGTTATAGCACTTTTCTGTTAACACCGAGACCGTCTATTTTATCAACAACACATAAATTCTACATTTATTTTATTACCGCTAATAAATATATATAATTACCGATTTCACCCTCGTGTCATTTGTTTTATTTTTTTATTTTATTTATTTTATTTTGTAAATATATTTTTAATTATAATTCCTGAGTTTTATTTTGAATTACTCCTTTACTTTTTCCGTTTTCAGGGATTAGTTACTAATAGGAAAAAGTGCAGTGAAAAATTTTATTTATTCTATTACCCCAGTGTAGGTCAACTAAATAGTGAAGGTCTGACCGTTTTATTTATTTATTTTTTTTGTTTGTACCTGGACTCCACTGAGTCTGCTGAGGGTGTACTCTAAGTGCACCCCAGGGCCGCAGAGTAGACTGCGTTACCAAAACTGGCGCCTGAGCAACCCTTGTTCGAAGAACAGCTTAGCGCCACCCCAACCCCTTTTCTTTATTTTTAGAGACGAAGAAAAGGGTGTCACAAAATTCACGAATAATTTTTTATTTTTACTACAAGAAATATTATGTAAGTACAGATAAAGACTCAACCCGTACCCGTACAGAGTCACTTTTTAAAATTTGAATCGGTTTCTTTTGAAAAAATCTAAAAAGATGTCTTTCTACCAAAAAGAAATAGTAATAAAAATGCTAGGAAAAAACAATATATTTAATTTTTACCTACAGGAGCATTTATTTTTCTTACAATAAAAAAAAAACTACTTTAAAAGCTTTTTCGTTTAGAGAATGACACCAACAAAATGTATATCCGTTTCTTCTATTTACAAGTGATAAACAGTCCGCAAGTGATTTGAATTTATTTCTTTTATGTCTGTACACGTTGCTATTTTTTACATACATTTATGGAGCTTAACTAAAAAACAAGAACTAGGGCTTTCATTCCAAAGAAAAAGTATTATGGCCAATAAAAGGAATTTCTAACTGTCATATCTTCAAGCCCTTATCTAAAACCTTTAAATATTAATGTTATCATTATACAAGAGTTATCTTTACAAATTGTTACAAATATCGAACATAAGTTTGTTGACATAAATATTATTTTCATAAAACAAATAAATATATCTCGGTTAAAGAATGGTCATAATTATTTAGTATTCATTTAAACATGTTTTTGTTTCTTGTCTGGATATTAAATACTAACTTTTTTTATATAACTTCTTTTACCCGACATTGTGAGGTAAAAAAAACTTGTTATCTATCATTTTTTTCTCACTTACAACTCGGCTGCTGATAGCAATAGTAACGGCTGCCGATAGCCACAGTAACAATACGGTTTTTAATGAATTTGTTCCAGAAGCTGTACCTAGGTGGTTTATTATAACAGATTATTCATACAACAAAAGTAATTTTTGTTAAAATATAAGTAATAATATGCTAAAACATTATAACTGATCGTTACCTATTATATAACCAAAGTACCTTTTCATTTAACTAACTCACTCATGGCTACCCCATGTTTGAATATTATAAATCCGCTTAAATGTAAAAAAACAACATATGTGTAGAAAATATTTTTTAAAAATTATTTAAAAATGTAAAATGTCAAGAGATCGTTTATTGTCCGTTTACATTTCCCTCCTGTATTCGTTAATTTGCCTTTTTCCTAAACTATGGATGCTTTTTTTATCTTAATAACCAGGTATGTAAATAAGATGAAAAAGAATAAACTTGTGACACAAGAGACAATGGACAACAGTCTGTCCATCTCACAGAAATACATCTACAACTTCGACTTCAACTTCAGTTGCTTTTTTCCAGTGAACTTTCTAGTTAAGAACAGTTCACTGCATTTTCTTTGTCAATTGTAACAAAAATTACATTAGTAAGGAGGCAAACCCGTACTGGGGACCACTGCCTGAGGACCTGTTTGTCACGTTGAGATAAGGGTGGTCCATGCCTAAGGTAGTTCCAGAGCGGTAAGTACAGAAATATGCGAATGACACATGTACTAATAGTAAAAATACAAAATAAAAGGTATGCAAAGAAAATACATATATGTACACATAAAAATAATATTTTAGGAGTAGGAGAGGTACTGCAGGAAGTTAGACTCACCTGAGGATGTTGGTTGATCTTATAGAGTTAGTCTTTTTTTTAACGTTTAGTACCCTTAATCCACAATAAAGTGTTAATTGATCCCACGCTCAATTCTTTATGGGTTACCAATAATAATCCTTGTTATTTTAAGCTAAAGAATCCGAAAAATCGAATGATTGCAATAGCATATGCTACAATCAGGTTATTTGTAGAATGACCGTAGAAAAAGTGTTCCAAAAAAAAACTAGGAAGTCCCTAAGACAATATGGTAAGTCACTAAGAGGTCTTTAACTAATTGGATGCAACTGAATATGGTAAATCTGTTATTTTGGTTGGCTAGATCTCCAAAGCGGTCAGAAAAGAAGAATCATATTGTCAATTTAATTTATTGACAGATAATAAATTAACAAGAGTATAAAAATAACAAATATTTATTATAAGTTATGGGCCAGCTAAACAGATATATTCAATAAATTGTACTACACTTTACTGGTACTAAACAGATTGGCGAAGGTAAGCGATTAAAATATGTTCAACCTGTAACAATATATTCAGAGAATTGGCAGGAAGCACTAATTATACCAGTGCCCAAACCTAATAAAAATCTTACGGTACCCTCAAACTATCGGCCAACAGCCCTCACCAGTTAACTTAATTTTTTTGTTGACAGTTTTTACCATTTTTGACTATAAAATTTGAAAAACCATTGTTTTCTTAACAATAAGGTTACTAAATTTCATGATAAGTTATTCGAAAGTGTAAACAATAATTCACGGGTGCATGGGTAAAGGGGCATTAGTCATAAATCATAAAATTCAAGAAACAAGCAATTTAAGTTTGAAGATTTGTGTATATTCTGTACGTACATATTTTTTTTTTTTAATTGTTGCCATAGTGTAAATAGGAATACATTCTTTAGGAAAATAGGCAGACAGAAGTTAAAAATATTTATTTTATTAAAATAAAAATACCAAAAAAAACATGTGACTTATGTCATATGTCACATGTCACAAAAAACTGACTTATACTTTTTGGCACTAAAAAACTACAATACATTAAAATGAAAAACATTATTTAACTAAAAAGACAACTTAGAAAATGAAAACTACTGTTCCTCAGAATCTTCTGGTTCAGAAACTTCTTCTAAATCAGGATTAACATCCACCACATCTGTAGCAGTTTTTAAATTTTCGTAAAATCCCAAGAAGTACGTGATATAAATGGTAGCAAATCTATTAGATCACGTTTTTTCTCTTTAGATATGAGAAATGGTCCAGCATAACTGAGAGGTGGATTTAATATTAGAGGTATTTTTCCTCTTCTTCTAAAACTTACTGAATAGAATTCATCACTGTCTTCAAGAGACGTTTTAAACTTTAGAATTCCAAAAGATCGCTTTTCATTTCTTAACCAACGTACGTGATGCCAGTTGGGATAACCAGAAGGATCAAGTTTTCTGTTTACTAGTGGTCCTTTATAAGTGAGAGAAGTCGTAAAAGTCATCTTGTGTCATTTCTTTTACAGAAAAGGGCTTTTTTTCCAACCTGACGCATTAGTTGCGCCCAATCATGTGGATGCTCTATTGGTCCATTAATTTTTTTTTCTTTTTTTCTATTAAACTATGGTCACTGTTAGAGATGGGCAATAAATCGCGAACTGCTAAATATTCACTGCGAATGAAAAATCGCAATCGCAATCTGCTATCTATTATAAAATAAACTGCGAATAGCGCGATCGCGACTACAAACCGTCATTGAGCGAACAACAGAACAGTTCTTTAAACGCATTAACCGAAAAGCGAAAAGTAAAATGTAAACGAGCGCGTCCACGTCTTCAATCACGTTTGCTGAATGAGCTATGTCTACTGTGATCGCAACTTCGCGTTTTTCATCGCGTCGAGTCTATTCAATGATCGATTGGCAGCGATTTTGACTATAGTATTTGCTATATACACTAATATTTTATTATATTTTAATTTTCTTATAGAATAATATAACTTCTTAAAATATTATACCCAGACTCGACACTCAGCAGATCGCTGCATTAATTTTCAATTTGCGATAACGCTATATGTAATGTGCAAGGCAGCGAAATCATGACGTCATTCGCAGTTAGCATTCGCAGTTTATATTTACAGTGAATTATAAATCGCATTCACAGTAACAACTGCGAATGAATATTAGCGACTAAGCTCATCTCTAGTCACTGTCACACTCCATATGAGTGTGACCTGCAATCAGGAACTTGTGATCTATAGTTTCCAAATGAGTGAAATCTTGTAAGGCTTTCATACACATTGCAGCAATATTCGTGTTTTTGTTTTGACCGCCACACGTATCTAAATACAGTGTTATATGTTTAACATGAACATCCAGATCTTCCTGTAGGTACTTATATAAACAAGAACCGATATCGTCACTACCTCTTTTTGCTATAGCTTCATGCCACACAAAACATGTGGCTTGCTGGTATCACAGTCGTGTATTGTCAGGTTAAAAGTCCATAGCTGCCTTTTGTAAAAGGCAAGTGATGATTGCACTACAGGTATCGGTAAACACTGTTGCAAGTCAAAGGTTATAGTCTTCCTTTCTGGATCATCTTTGGTAACAGTTTTGTCTTTCTATTTAGACAGATAAGCTAAGTCTGCAAGTTTATGATGTTGCGCAAGATCATCTTTTAGTGAAGTATTAGTTGGATCAAGATTAATTTGCATTGATAACTTATCACACTTTTCACAGGTGTCTTTATGAGGACGCTTTATGCTGATATGTAATTGGTGGAACTCACGTTCGTATACAAATCTTGGCACGGGTTTCACAGGATATTTCTGTTTGTACTCGTTATAGAGATCGGTCAGTGTGACGTATGGCGGCAAATACTTTTTTGTAGAATCTCTGCGTGTGTAGTGACTTTCATACGTAGGCACTGAAAGTATATGTTGCCAAACGTTTTCTATATCTTGCAAGGTTCGTTTGTTTGGTGGTGCACTTTTCCCTCTGCCATCAGCTACTGTAATTCCAGACTGATTTGACAACTTTTTCTCAATTACAGTTCTTATAAATCTTTGAGTTTCATTAAAGGTTGCAAGGAAACAAAATTTACAAACAGAGACGTTCCTACCATTTACTTGCAAATGATACAAGACTGTATTTATGCGCTGTTTACTTTTATTTGGGACAGACGTACGGGGTCTTGATAATGCTTTTTTCTTAATTTCAAGTAAACCAGCAACATAAGCTGTTCTTCTATTATAATCCCCCACAGCCCAATAGTCAGTAAAGAGTTTATGTCTTTCTTCTTCAGAAATATTTTCTCTACACTTATTTATGCAAGGTTTAAGAGGCTGCATGGTGCGTGCAGCTCTTTTTTTTTTTTTTTTTATTTGGAATTTACATATTCCTGGCCAGTATTACGTTTCTCCTTTCTGGGCTGTCGTACAGCATTCGTATCTTCTTTTATTGTACGCTTTTTGCCCCTATTATATCTGGCTCTATTAGTATTGTTAACAATAACTTGCTCCTCTCTATTTGCTGTTGCCTGTCGTTGTCTTATTTGAATTGTTACATCTTCATCGCTTTCACTACCAGATGAAGTCCCGGGTTGTTCAAAATCTGGATCCCTAATAGAATCAGCAGAGTCAATGATAATTTTCTTTCGGACAGCTTCGCTGCTTTGATCGTCCTCATCTGTAACCATCAAAGAATATCTTTATAATACCTGAACTGTTGTTTATCTTATTAGGCCTAAGATCCGAAGTAAGGTCGACCTTCACCCATCTGTTTAATGGATGAAAGTTTCTTTTTATTACATAAAATATATTTATAAATATACCGCAAATGAATTTCCTAAGAAAATACGGTCCAGACTATTTTTTTCTTGAAGTAAAAAAAAACGACACCCTGTAGAGTATTCCCCAGATGCTTCAACTATGCCCAAAACTTTAATCAGCTCACCACAGGATGGATTAAAGCTTAAGTTTAAAATTTGGTGTTTTTCTCTTCATCCGTTTTTGAGTTGTCTTCAAAATTCGAAATTTGCACTTTTCTTCAAATATCTCGAATTAGGTTTATTTTAGGAAAATCATGTATATGAACAAAATAATAGATAATGACACCATAAACAACTTTTATCATGATTTTTATCCTTTCTTTCTCTGTACACAGAAAGGATAGTAAAAAATGGCCGTGACCATATTTTCTTAGGCAACTTATTTTCGGTATATTTAAAAACATATTTTATTAAATAAAAAATAAGTTTTATCCATTAAACAGATGGGTGAAGGTCGACCCTACTTACGGATCCTGGACTATATGTAAGAGTTTGAACATGTACTTTGAAATACATTTCCCTATTTTGTTGGAAAAAATATAAACTTGGCAACGTTTCCAAACTGGAAGCCGAACGCGGCCCAGGACGAAACAAGTTAGATTATGTTTAGTTATCAGTTTGTTTCAACTTTCCGATTAAATTAATAATTTTATAACTTACCTTCATGAGTATGAGTTTCATTATTGCTTTCTTTCAATAAATTTAAAATTTTTTGTGCCCTGCTGCTCATCTTTCACAGACAGTTTGTCTATAAAACCAAGAACAATAAACTTCTTAACCGTCACAAACAATAATATGTTGCCAAACCTCTGCTTATGTCATTTTGCAAATATGACTTTTTTGTAAAATGGTTTGTCAAACAGCTGCAATATACTTCTAATGTGTAAAACGTATCAAGTCCTGATATGATTTTATATGCACAAGAAAACAATAAATTGAAATGGTGAAAAATGGATCAAGTCTGACTTCCATTTTAGCAATGCAAATATTTTTATTTTCACATATATATGAAAATGTGTCGGACATAATTCATTTTTTACAATACTTAAGTCTATTTACATAAGCAGGAATGTCTGTTTTTAAGATAAACCTTTTAGCACATATCCATTGCCTTGCTATAATACACTTTTGACTTGTGACATTTATCCCAAGCAAGCGCGTTCATTTTGTAATGTAATAAATGCATTAATGACCGAAATAAAAAAAATGACTTATGCCCCCTTACCCATGCGCCTGTGAATTAGTAGGCCTGTGAAATCAGAAATTTTTTTTTTTTTTTACTTTGGAAAACCGGTGACTAAAGAATTTTAAGAAAATATTTAACAAAATATGCCATCAGAACTTCAGTTGTAACACCCTGTATCTCGAAAACGAAACGTTTTCGGACCTATGTTTATATAAACTTTTATTCCTATTTTAAGATATAGATTACTCTGTTAAAATATGACCGTCTAATTTCGGGACACCCTGTATATACGTATATATATTGGCTAAATATTTCTTTCTTCTAAAGCGATCCCATTGTATTTTTCATATTGTGCAAAACGTTTTTACCATCATAATTCAATTTAAATTAGTTTAAATCGAATAATTTAGTTTCTAATCTTAATAATGTTAATTCGACTAAAATGCAATTTCAAGAACACGATTTCGCCTTCACCTCAATTTCAACTGCAATTGTCCCTGAAGAGTTGTTACAATAAAAAAAGATTGCATTGTAAAAAATCCATGCATTTTCAACGTAACTGTTTTAATATTAACGTTGTCGTGCAACGTCGTTTAAAAAAACACGATAAAACACAAAAGGGGCATATTGAACTAGAATAATTTACATAGAAGAAAATTAGATAGATCCGGGATCGTTATTAGTTTTGTTGGATTTTTGTTGTAGTAGAATTTCAAGGATGTTTGCTTAACGTAACGAGAAACTTGCTCGTTTATATTCATTGGTTTACCTAATAGAATGGAGAAGGACTTGCTTCATCATTATGCGAATTTTAGTTCGAATTACCCTTAGAATAGTATTTAATCCTCACAATCAATCGAATGGCAATCGTAACCATTATGCATGTATTGCAAGAACAAGAACGGGAATTGCAATACAGCATTGTGATATTTTTACCCACTGCCATGTACTGGATATAATATTATAATCGACTAAAAAGCATTTCGAAAAATCTGATGTGTCCAACACATGACTTTCCTATCTAGTTATTATAAGATTTTTCCGGTTATTTTGTACAACCTATTGCAGCATTTTCATAAATATTTAGAGGATAAACTAAATATATACATTGTCCACATACATCTACCCCGAAACATTTTTCTATAGATATTCATTGAGAACGAAAATACTGAAAAATTTAAATTTAGCACTTTTCCATTACAATCCATTTTAGAAAAATCATGTATAAACAAAAATTATAGAGATCGATATCGCAAACAACTTTTAGTTCAACAATTTTCATAAAAATCAGAATTTTGCACATTTTGTCAAATTTCTCGAATACGGACCATTTCAGGAAATTTTGACATAAAACAAAAATTAAAGATAATAATATTAGAAGTAACTTTTATTTGAACAATATTCTTCTACAAACATACAACAAATAAAAGATATATTCCATAAAATATAAAAACGGCTTCCCATAAAGTACCCCTCTAGATGTTCCGAC